TGTTGCTGATGCTGTTACTGTTGCTGTTGCTATTCCTGTTGTTCTTGTTGTTGCTGTTGTTGTGCATTCTGCGCAATGTTGCATGACACATCACGTGGTTTCATAGTTTGGTTCGGTGCCAAAACCGAATCCACATCATGATGCGCTGCATAAACAGCATACACAAGCTCGGTAGCCATGCACCATTGCAGCAAAGTCGCGCAATCGGGTTCGGGTGGAATGGTTGCAGTCTCTTGGCAGCCAATCTTCACTCGCTCGCAGCAGAAATCCTGCTGCGTCTTCCTCGAACAAATGCCACGCCGCACAAAAGTCTGTACCATCACAGCTAGAGTGTTGTAATATAAGTTTTAACCGAAGGGGCCCAAAAGGCCGGGACTCTAGGCAGGGCCTACAGGCATGCACCTAAATATAAACCCCCTACATGAGCTATAGTCTAAACTCTTGTTATAGGTGATTACAAGGGGATTATATAGGGGAGCATTATAGGTGTTACTAACGGGGATACTAGGAGTTTAGACTGTAGCTCGCAGGCTCACTGCTTGGAGATCAGAAAACTTGGCCAAGGCACGACCAAAGACTGGGAACGCCCACGTGACAGTGGAATGTCATCGCCTTCAGTCTATAGTTCATCTTAAGTAGATAGAATATGGCTTTGGGTATATTATAACAAGATCCCCATATACCTCCTATTCTATCTACTAAAGGGGGACTATCGGTAGGCATCATCTTGCCAAGAATTTTCGTTATGTGCAATAGTATCAGTAACTACCAGAGATTATAGGACATTAATTACCTGGTATTAGCTTTTTGCCTACCAAGCCTTTATCTCTGGTACAAGCACTACGCAAAGTCATAATGCTGCCAAGCCACAAAGGGTGTAGCAGGGGGGCCACCAGGTGCCGTCCTTGATAAAACCCAAAGCTCTACATGGTTTCATGCGCGCTCTGCAAAGTGTGCTCTGCTTGTCGCTCTGAGTCCAGCACGGTGCCATGAATCCCTTAGGCCCCGGGACATCGGTTCATCATGCGTACAGGAAAGTTGCACGACCCCGGTACGGCTGGCAATTTCTCCTTCATCAGTCAAGGAACAGCATGGAAGTCCGGCACGGGCACCATAATCCATGTAGTTGGGACTGGGGTTGTTGTCAGGCCTTGCACTTAGGCCATGGGTGGTTGCAGAAGGAAGCAATCAAACTTAGGGCAAATTAGGGTTGGGGGGTCCCCATAATAAGGATTACAATATAATGGAGTCAATATTGGGGTCCCCCTATTTAGGGGAACTACCAAATGAGGACGCAACTGGTGGAAGGCTGGCAGCCCACTCCCACGTTGTCGCAGCACCAGATCCGATGTGGCACGGACCAAGACTGAAGCATTTGGGCATCCGGAGGTGGAATGCTGCCATCGCTAGTGTAGCAGCTGTAGCCTAGGACCAAATGTAAAAGACATAATGATTCACAAGGGAAAGTGCCTGCTCCTTGGATCGGCCAGTCATAATACGAGTGAGAGCTATAGTAATAAAACAATAATAATCCTAGTCATAATAACAGGAATAACAAAAGTACAGATAATGGGAACTCTCTCTCTCCCCTGCGGACTCAGTTGCCTGTCAGCCGCGACGAAGGCCCAAGCGATGGGAACTAACTATTAGAAATATAGTACTAACAACAATAATAATAGTCATAGTGATAGCAAGAATACAAATACAGATAATGGGAATCAAAAATGGAAGGAATAGTAATGGATTCAGATGAGGAACGGGTCACTGGTTCATCTCGTAAGTGCTGCAGGTTTCTTGACGTGATAACTGCGGCAATGAAGACCGCAATCAGGCTGCCCCCGCAGCAAAACCAGCACAAGAGTGTCAAGCACCTCCAGGTGGGTTTAGGGTTTAGGGGGCATACTATTACAATTTCTATCACTACTACGATTACCATTGTGATGACTACTAGTACTATGATAACTACTATTGTTGCTATGCTATTACTGTCGCTCTTATAAGTCATACTTTGCTACTATCACGAATACTACTACTATTACTACTATTGCCATATCAGCATGAAAGGGGGACCATCTGGGGGAATAGTTGCCAAACTAGCAAGGGCAAGAAACAGAATAACATGGGGAAGATCCTTTCAGTTGTTCTTGATACACGCTTGTATCAACGGAGCGCCTTCCACTAGGTTCTTTAACGACGTCGAAGTCACCTCTGCCCTCGCCCACGTACTTCACATCATCCACTTTTGCGAAAGCCTGATGATGTGAACTTGTGCCGGAAATCATGTAGCACCCAATACTTTTACTATGACTGTTACTATACTACTAATACTACTATTATGAGAAACAGGATCATTATAGCAGGCCTGTATGCCTGCTTCAATCTTGCCAAGCCGCCCCCCGGCCACTGCCGACATACTGAATTCTCCCTGGGGACGTATCTGCGCCTAGGAGGAAGTCCTGGCGCGGGCGGAGGGGAGGAGGCTTTGAAAGCAATGATATGCAAAACTAGCCATGCCTCTGAGCAAAGGGATGCTTCTGCAACGGGATGGTACTCATGCAATGTTGTCATGTGGCCTTGGGCAGAATTGACAACGGGACGGCTCTCTTGTTAGGCTTTTATGGCTCCAAGCACTGACGGTAGAGCCGAGTTGCCGTCCCCCTTCAAGGGACGCGGCTATACCATGCGTCGTGCGGATCCCTCGTGCCAGCCAAAGACGCCCCCATGCATCAATTTAAATGACAGCGTGTGACAAAGGGCAATATGCACAGCAAGGCACAAGCAGAATTCTAGTCAGTTTGCATTTGATCCTTTTCTTGGCTCAATGAAACGTTGCAGCCGCAGGCGCCATCCATGCTGGCTCGCCAAGCAGATGAAAAGATACCAAGAAATATACCCACAAGCTTCTAAGATCCTTCATGTACAGCCAGTATTGTCCTCATCATGTCTACATGCTTCTACATGTAGAGAGCCCCCTAAGGCTTGCAAAGTTCACAGCAAATATCTGTCAAGCGACATCCAGTTTGGAAGGTTCCCTGTGCTGGCTTTAAACCGTTGCAGTTGTACGTGGCAGCAGTCATTCCATGCAATGTGCGAAACGATGTCACAGCTTGGCGGCCGCCGGCTGGGGTGCAGCTTCGGCGAACATCTTGGCCATCTGTGCTAGCTTTGTGGACTGCTTGACGCCCAGGTCCAGCATGATCTCCTCGGAGCCTCAGGACGCAAGATGCTAGGGCCAGGATGCACAATGGCGCGCCAGTACACACTGCACATTAGCCCATAGCTGAGCCGGTAACCTCCCGGAATGGCCATGGCGCGAACTTCTCGGTTCAGCCTCTCGACCTTCTCTCCCTGACCTCCCCGGGAGTAGGACAGGCCTCCAAAGATCTGAGCCGCCTCTCTTGCGCAGTACTCCATGACCTGACCACACCACTACCGTAACATACCGTAACCATTTCGTATAAACTGCCGTGCCCTACCGTGTCTTTCACCCGATTCTGAGACCTGGACCTTGGTGCACTGGACCTTGCAAAGGGCCGTGTGTCCTCCAAGCTTCAGCATGGCCTCAATTTTGGGCATAGTTGCGAGCTGGAAGGTGATCCACTCCAGCCAGTTGTGGGTGGCCTCGATTTGACGGGCCATCTCTGCGACCTTCCATCGAATCACGGGGTGCTGGATGAGCGTCTTGCCGAAGGTCTTGCGCTTGCCCGCAAACTTCAGGGACTCTTCGAGGCATACGCGCGCGAAGCGCGTGCTCATCGCGCAGAAGGCGAAGCGCTCGTGATTGAAGTTCCTTGGATCCGCTGCACGCCCTGGCTTAGAGCTCCGCTTTCCGTTACTGCTCAGGGCATAAGTGTACGGACAAGGGGCTGCATCATGTACTGGAAGCCCTTGCCCTCCTTGCCAAGCAGGTTGCCCTTGGGCACTTTGACATCATCGAAGGTGATGTAGGTGGTGCCGGATGACCAGGCGCCTGAGCACTTCATCTTGCGAGTCTCCACGCCAGGCATGTCCTTCTCTACCAAAAGCAAGCTGATGCCACCCACACCAGGCTTTCCCGTGCGGCAGGCCACGGTGAAGTAGTCGGCAAAGATGCCGTTTGTGATCCACTTCCTCGGTGCCCGCTACTGCGCCTGAACTTCCGGAACTGCCTCTACTCGTTAAAGCAATGCAGGCCTCTACAGCAAGGATATAGAAGCTATGAAAAGCTGTTTCGATGCTTAGGCTCTTCTCACCGTTCAGGATATAATGATCACCTTCCAGCTTGGCCGAGCACTTCAAGTTGGCCACATCGCTGCCAGCTGTGGGCTCAGTGATGGCAAGGCAGCAGACCTTCTCGCCCTTTACGCACGGAGGCATGACTCGCTGCTTCAGCTCTTCACTGCCATGGTGGTACACAGGCGGCAGTCCGATGGTGGTGCCCCCTGCGATGCCCCACTGAAAGCCAACGGATCCCGTGCGGCTCATCTCGTCGTACATAATCAGTTCATGGAAGTAGTCCGGCTCGAAGCCCCATGGGGGCTTGCCGAAGTACTTCTC